TCCTCTGGCCCCTCTGTGGGGCCCGTGGCAAACCCCAGCCCTGCCGTGACTACCTTGGCCTCACGTTTGTTCTGCGTCTGTCCCACTTCTGTTTGGCGCTGACTCCCTTTCATTTGTGGTTCTTCCATGGCAGGGACACGGCTGACGGCACACCGGCTTGATTGTTCTAGTACTTTAAACCGTACTAATGATAAAAATGACCTGACGCACCCACTCTGCTAGACTTTCCACGCCAGGCGCCAGGAATCGTACTCCCCCGGTCCTTGTCCCACCCGGGAACCCCTGCGCGGTGCTGCAGAAGCTCGTGGGGTTGAGATGTTGGAACTGTTTTTCTTGCAGACAAGGACTTGCGGACCAAGGGCTTCAGCCTGGAGTCGTGCCGCAGCATGGTGAACCTCATGGACGTATCCTTCGCTTCTGTTTCCTGAGGCTGCTTTGGGTTGGGCAGCATGTGGGAGAGAGATACCCTGTGACCTCTCCCGGGAACAGTGCAGAGAAAGGGACAAAGCCCTGTCAAGTGTGGACAGACCAGCTCTTTTCCCGGGCAACTTCCCGGTGCCTGGGAGGGGGAAACGGAGGCACAGGCTTTGTGTTGAGCGAGTGATAGAGCAGGGTCTAGGTCCTTGAGTGACCTTCAAGTTGGTGCTTTTTGTATCCCTCCAAACCCAACCCCCCTGGCTTGGCAGGTTCCTGCCTCTTTCCATCTCCCCTCACCTTGAGGTCAGTCTCCCCTTCTTCCCAGTTGCTTCTCACCCTGTGCCCGGTTTAAGCTGCCCTTTTTAAAAAAAAACTTATTAGAGAGTGAGGGTGCATGCACGTGCACGAGCAGGGAAGAGGGAGAGGGAGAAGCAGGTTCCCTGCTGAGCAGGGAGCCCGATGCGGGGCTCGATCTCTGGACCGCAAGATCATGACCTGGGCTGAAGGCAGACGCTTACCCGAATGATTGTCCCAGGCGCCCCTGGTTTAAGCTTCTTAACAGTAGCCCCCAGCGGGACGGCAACGGGAAACTGGGCCTGGTGGAGTTTAACATCCTGTGGAACCGAATCCGGAATTACCTGGTGGGTGGTCCCTCAGCCCGGCTGGTGCCTGCCCTCTGCCGTGGCCTTGATCCCAGGCTGGGCCTCTGCCCGCCCTGGGGCCACCTCTCCAGATCCCAGCCCCTGGCCCGCCTTTTGGGTCTTTCCCCTGCACCCTCATCAAGCCCCCACACTGGGGGGTGCGGGAAGGGCTGGGTGCCTCCCTCGGCCCGGCCCTCACCCTCCGCTCCCCGCTCCAGTCCATCTTCCGGAAGTTTGACTTGGACAAGTCGGGCAGCATGAGCGCCTACGAGATGCGGATGGCTATCGAGTCTGCGGGTAAGGCCTGAGTGCCGGAGGCTGATGGCCCCAGGCCGATTCCCACTGGTGACCCAGGGTGGCAGGCTAGCACACTGTCCTTGTCCCTGGGTGGTGGTGGTGATGGGTTGTGGCATCCTGTGGGGACTGAGCTAAGTGCTTTGTCAGCATTTCCTTTTGCCCTTGCTGCAGCCTGACTGGGCGAGGGTCTCTTACTATCTCCACTGTATGCGGAAGAAAGTAGGGCTCAGAGAGGGACGGTGACTGCCCTGCGGCCACACAGCCAGGGAGGGGTGGAGCTGGGCGCCTGAGCCTCCAGTGAGGGAGGTGCGTGTCAGGATGAGGCCAAGGCTTTCCGCACAAATAGAACTGGACCCCTGGGCCCTCTGGCCCCTGATTCCCTGGGGCTGTCAGGCCCTCGCTCCCTCTGGGGCTGGCACTTGCTTGCCCAGCCCCTCCCAGCAGCGGGCCCTACTCAGGAGGCCTTCAGGCCTTGGAGCTGCAGGGCGCACCCTGCCCCCTGTCTCCAGTCCTCCTCCCTATCCCCTCGGGCCAGGCCATGCCTCCTTGGCCCTTACCCACTCTCCCGGGCCAGGTTTCAAGCTCAACAAGAAGCTGTATGAGCTCATCATCACCCGCTACTCGGAGCCAGACCTGGCCGTGGACTTCGACAACTTCGTGTGCTGTCTAGTGCGGCTGGAGACCATGTTCCGTGAGTGCCCCGGCGGGCTCCTGCCTCTGGTTCTCTCTCTCGTCAGCTGTGGGGGAACGACAGGGCAATAGGGAGAGATAGGACATACGTGCCATGGCGTGTGCCAGAGGCAAAGGGCACGGCACTTGGAACCCTGCAGGCTGAGTGCTGGGAGGTTAGGGGAGTGGGGACCTGGCAGCTGGGGGGCTCGGGCAGCAGGAAGAGCTGTTTCCCGGCAGGCACAGGTGAGGGCTTGGGGTGCTGTGGGGATGCGGAATGAGGGGCAGGGTGGGTCCTGGTCTTGCGGGAATGTTCTACTGGGTTCTCAGTGCCAGAACATCTTCTTTTGAATGTAGGATTTTTCAAAACTCTGGACACGGATCTGGATGGTGTCGTGACCTTTGATCTGTTTAAGGTGGGCACTGCCCTGGGCTGTGGCAGGGGAGGGTGTTTAGGGTTGGGGGAACTTTCTTACCTGCCTGGGGTAGCAGCCTAGGGCTTCAGACCCAGCCCCAAAGGCCAGGCCTCCTGAGTCGTTGAAGGATGGGGTGGGGTCGTCTGGGTCCTGGGAAGGGAGCAGGAAGGGAGGGCGAGGCTCCTGGAGGTCTCTGCGGCTCTCCTTCCCCCAGAGGGTCCCCTCCCACCTGCCCTCAGTGGGTGAAGCGACAGTGGCTTCTGGGGCGGGAGGCTGGACTTGGCGTCTCTGCTGTCCCCACCTGACCCATCTCTCCACCCCCCACCCCCGGCAGTGGTTACAGCTGACCATGTTTGCATGAGGCAGGGGCTCAGGCCCCCTTGCCGTGTTCCTCTCCCTCGTCTGCCAAGCCATGCCTTCCCGCCATGCCACAGCAGGCCACACCAGCTGCAAGTGCCTTCCTCGGAGCGGGAGGCAGCCTCGTCCTCCTGTCCTTCACGTCCCAGCTGCCGCGGCTCATCTGCTCTGCACAGAGCCGTGTGGCCTTTCCTGCCTTTGCCCGCTGTGGGCTCAGGGGGGACTCGTCTGCCCCTCCCGTTGCCAAACAAGGAAGGCAGCTTTCGCTTGTCCCTGCCTCAGGATGGGGGTCCAGGGGGAGCCGACAACCCCAGGCCTCCCGACGATGTGTGCTCTCCCCTCACTCCAGAGGCCACCCCCCACCCCCACCACCCCGTGTCACCTGCAGACCTTCAGACAGAACCACTAGCTCTGCACAGTTACAGCCCAGCTGTGCAGGGCCCTTCCCAGCCGAGGCCTCCTCCTGGGCCTGGGAAGGCCCACTCCTTCCTGCGTAGAAGCCCGTGTCCCTCACCAACGTGGCCTGCCCTGCCCGGGGAGCCAGGAGTCACCTGGCCTGAGGGGTAGGCAGATGCTCCCTCCCCCGCTCCTTCCTTTTTTATATTGGTGACTCTAATGGGGACTCTTCAGGGACTGGTGTACCAGTAATGGGGGTGCCAGAGGCACCTGGGTATGGGGTGGGGTGGGAATCTTACATTTCCATGCCGAGAAATCCCAAACAATAAAGGAAAAGGCCCCACACCTGTGTCCGGAGTATATTTCTGCCCCAAGCTGCTGCCCAGGAAGGCACCAGCAAGCCTGGAGCTGGAGGGACAGCCCAGGGCCTCCCACCACCCCTGCGCTGTGGCTCCTCCTGGGGTCTCTCACCCCTGCTGGAGTCCCAGGTACCTAGGAAGCTGGGGAGGATGGGGCTTCCAGCTGCCGGGGCAAGACCATACTGGGGAGGTCCCCTTGACCACCCATGCTAGTCCCCTTCGCCCTCCTCGAAGCCCCAGAGGCCTGACCCCTGCCCTCCATGTACACTCCGCCCGGAAGTTTCCAGCTGCAACCCGAACTCCCACTGAGCACAAACCTGACCCCCCAGGAAGCTTCCAGAACACAAGGGCCTCCTTCACCCGGACACCTGCAGCTTATGTAAGCTGCTCAGCCCCTCTGGGTCGCAGCTTTTCTTACCAAAGATAAGAGTGGCTTGCGGTGAGGGTAGAAGAGAGGACAGTGGGAAGCAGGGGGGTGGGGGTAAGCCACAAACTAGGACGGCATCTGCAGTGGGGATGGGGGCTGCCCTCGGCAGCTGGGGGAGGCCCAGATAGAGCCCCGAGTGGCAGACGTCCCGGGCACTGCTTGCCACAGGCTGGTTCAGGGCCTGGACCCCTGTCCCGAGCCGGCATTTGGCCCCCAGGAGTCCTAGAGCTGGTCCTGGGCCTTGGCGTCCTGTCAGTAGCAGGGGGCGGGGGTGCCTGTCACTTGCTGGGAGTCTGGGCTGGTGAGGGCGCCAGGTGGGGGGCTGGGAGTGCAGTCTCATGCCCCCCCACCCCTCATAGTTCTCTGTGTTGGGATTTTGTTTGAGAGCGGGTTGAGGTAATTGTCTGGATGGTCTGGTGGCCTTACCCGCCCACACACCCCACTCCGAGGCTGAGTGCCTGCGACCGAGGCGGGGAGACCCGGGCTGCCTCTTAGCGCCCCTGCCCCAGCATTCCCATCCTGCCCTACCCCTGTTTATTCTGTGCAGCCTCTTCTTGGGGGCTGGGGCCCAGGGACTGGGTCCCCTACACTGTCTGGATCGGGCTCTGGAAGGTGCCTCTCGGTGGCCCCCAGGAGAGAGGGGAGGGTGGTGATGGGCGGCAGTGACTGCTGGGGTCCCGCGGGGGGGCCGGCAGGGGCGGGGCGGCTGGGCCTGTGGATCCCGGCGGTGGGCTGCAAGGCAGAGCTCTGGGACCCCCGGCGGTGGGCTGCAAGGCAGAGCTCTGGGACCCCTGGTTTTCTAGCTGGGAGCGGAGATGGAGAGAAGTGAGGACCAAGGCCCTGGAGGGAGGGGGAGCCCTGCAGGCCTGGGGACTCCCGGGGCCTCCCGTGAGGTGTAACCGGACCCCTCTGACCTGCTGGATGCAGGGCATGCAGTCCTGACCCCGGGCCTATTCCTCCACCTCCCGGGGGGCCCGTCCTTTACATAAGGCCGCAGCAGGCTGGGCCATAGCCCGTGGCCATGGCCTTCACGGACCTGCTGGACAGCCTGGGTGGTGTGGGGCGGTTCCAGCTCGTCTACACGGCCCTGCTGCTCCTGCCCTGCAGCCTGCTGGCATGTCACAACTTCCTGCAGAATTTCACGGCCGCTGTGCCCGGCCACCACTGCCGGGGCTCTGCCAACCACACCATGGCCGCCACCAACCACTCGGGGGCCTGGCTGAGGGCCACCGTACCCCTGGACCAGCTCGGGGCCCCCGAACCATGCCGGCGCTTCACGGAGCCTCAGTGGGCCCTCCTGAGCCCCAACACCTCTGTCCACGGGGCAGCCACGGAGGGCTGCAAGGACGGCTGGGTCTATGACCTCAGCACATTCCCGGCCACCATCGTGACCGAGGTCTGCGGGGGAGCCAGCGCGCTGGACAGGTGGGGGGGCTGCTGCCCGAGGCCGAGGCTGGAGCGCCCCTCTCCCTCTCTCCCCTGCAGTGGGATCTGGTGTGTGAGGCCCGTCCCCTCCGCGACCTAGCTCAGTCCATCTACATGGCCGGGGTGCTGGTGGGCGCCGCCGTATTCGGCAGCCTCGCAGACAGGTGAGCCTTGACAGGGAGGGTCCCAGCCACCTGAGCCTCTTCATTCATTTTACTTGATTGACGCTGATTGGTAGAGAGATGACGCATTCGCATAGTTCACGGTTCTAGAAGGTGTGGGAGAGTGCAGGGAAGCGTCCCTTTCCCGCTGCTGTCCCACCATCCACTGATTTCTAGAGGGCAGCCTGGTTTCTGTGTCTCTTTCCAGATATATTTTATGATTCTTTAAAAGTTTTTATTTATTTAATTGACACAGAGAGAGGGAACCCAAGTAGGGGAAGCGGGAGAGGGAGAAGCAGGCTTCCCGCCAAGCAGGGAGCCCCATGTGGGGCTCCATCCGGGGATCCTGAGATCATGACCTGAGCCGAAGGCAGGCGCTTAATGACTGAGCCACCCAGACGCCCCAATATTTTATGATTTTATGTCATCCATGCCACCAGGTACATATGCTCTGTCCCACCTTTGTCATGCCAATGCTGGGGCACCCCACGGGTGCTTCTGGACCTGGCTTTTACTTCCCCTCAAGGCCTCTGCATGTTCCTTTAGAAAGAACTTTCTGGTCCTCCCTACTGTCCCTGCTGAAATTCTATGGTATGGATGACCAGAACTAAGCAGAATGGCCCCTGAGGGTAGCCGGCAGCCCTTCTAGAGGGACCCCAGGAAATCCAACCCGGCTCTAATGGAGTCGGTTCCGCACCTCCTGTCCTCTTTCCTCCGCCTTCCAGCTCATCCACCCCTCCCGCTCTCCTCGTGAGTTCCAGGGGTTCCCCGACCTTCCCCACCCCCCATTGCCGCTCCGCACCCTGGAGTGCTGACTGCCCCTCCCCCCAGCCTGCGTGCTTTAGGCCCCTCGTGGGCAGCTCCGCCATGACCGTGGCCGTACTAGGTCACGGCACAGCCCGCCCTTCCTGTGGACGAGCTTGTCTCTTACCCACGGTGTCGTGTTTGTCACCAGCCCCCAGTGCAGGACAGTTAGTTACCTAGAGGTGATCGAGGCATGTTTGCGTCAGAGAATGAGCGCGTGAACAAGCGAATGGGTCAGGGGGTGAGCAGCGTGCAGCCCCCTTCCCGGCCTGCTGCCCTCCCAGCCGCGTCAGGGCTCTGGCCCCGGACCCTCACTCACACATGGGGCAGGGCCAAGGCCGGACCAGGATAACCCTGCTATCCTGAACGCTGACCTTCGACCCATTTGTGCTGTGACAAGCCCCCGCCCAACCTGGACCTCCCCAGCATGACCAGCTCAAATGAGGACTCGACGCTGGGGTCCTGCTCCCACTGGCCCCTGAGTCCTGGTGTGAGGCCTCCGTCCAGCCAGAAGCTCACTCAGGGGACCTTCTGACCACAAGCCCCGAAGATTAAGAGCTGGGTTGGGGGAGGGGCAGATACACTCCTTGAGTGAAGGAACAAAAGACAAAAGACAAGTCTTCGTGTCCGGTTTTCCCTCCCTGACCCTGGGCCGCCAGCGCCTGCGTCCCAGCAGGTGCCCTTGGCTCTGTTGGAGGGACTGGCCTGGGGGAGCCGCTTTCTCTCTCCCTCCCCCCGCAGCCCCCACGAGGGATGCGGCTGCTGTCCCCGGAAGCTAACCCCAGCCCGGCGCCCGGCTCAGGCTGGGCCGCAAGGGCCCCCTGGTCTGGTCGTACCTGCAGCTGGCAGTTTCCGGGGCCGCCACCGCCTACTTCGGCTCCTTCGGTGCCTACTGCGTCTTCCGGTTCCTGATGGGCATGACCTTCTCTGGAATCATCCTCAACTCCCTCTCCCTGGGTGAGTCCAACCAAGGAGGGCCCTGGCGGGGCGGCCGGCTTGCGGAAGTGGGGGTTGCACCCGATCCGTGGACGTCTTTTCTGTTGTGTTGGGATGCACGTCCAGTGACTTCCACTCAGATACACTCGCCCCCCTGCCCGCCCTGGGGCGATCTGGGCTCTCCCCACCGGCCGTGAGCCGCGGACCCTGGTGGCAACATGTTCCTCCATATGCTGAGAGGCTTGGGTCGTTTCCTGTGTGCTATAGTCCCCAGGAACCACTTAGTAAGCACCTACTGTATGCCAGGCTCAGTGTGGGGTCACAAAGGGAGCTGAGACGCAGTGGTCCCCAAGGCTCCAGGCTGTCCTAAGATGCTGTGGCTCCAAAAAGGGCAGGGCTCACCCAGGCTCCTTAGCCCCATGGTGGAGACCTGGCCCCTTGGGAGCCAGATGGGAATGTCCCCCACTCCCAAAGTGACAGGGTCAGTCCTCACTCCAGGCTGGTTTCCGGCAGCTGCTGGTCGCTCCGGCACGGAGCGCCGTCAGGGAGTAGAAAGCCCATGGTGCACACAGACCAGCCACTAGCTTGTGCGAAGGGCTTAGTTGGCACCTGGGACACTACCAGGCCCAGGGAGGGTCTGAGGGATCCAGACACTGCTTCCCGAAGACGGGATGGGTCCTTCATCTCAGGGATGGGGGGAAATCTTAGGGCTGGAGAACCAGGCCGCGCCAGGCTCTCACACCTGACATCCCCCTCTCTGAATCAGGACCCTGAGGGTTGTTGATCTCACGCATGATCCCGACAAATCCCAGCCCACTCGCCTCAGCCTCCAGGGTGGGTGTCCAGCCACAGCTGGTGGGATCGGAAGGCGGGATCAGACATGCACGGTCCGTGTCGTGCTAGAATTGCGTCTGTGAGACACACCCCCTACAAACACACATACTCTCCTACCTGTGCACACACCCATATGCACATATCCCTGCTCATGCACGCACACACACACACACACACACGCACGCACACACACACCTTGTACTACCACTACATACATACCAGATGCGGTTCTGAGCACCAGAAATGGAACAAGGTACAAAGCACGTTTCTGGTCCCACGGAGCCTCTGTTTTGTGCAGGAAGAGAGACAGCCGCACGAACAAGCGGCATATATGTGCGAAGGGCACACCTGCTGCAGAGGAAACTAAAGCCCAGAAAGGGCATGAGCGAGCAGGGAGCTGGGGGGACGGTGGAGCGGCCAGGGGAAGTCCTCACTGAGAGGGGTCACTGGGCAGAGCTTGCAGGAGGGAGGGAGTGTGCCCCGCGGCTATCTGGGAGAGGAACATTCCAGGCAAAGGCCCTGAGGGGTGTGTGTTTCTAGTGAGCTCAAGATGAGGGGGTTCTTTTTTTTTTTTTTAAGAATTTATTTATTTATTTGTCAGAGAGAGAGCGAGCACAAACAGGGGACCAGCAGGTGGAGGGAGAAGCAGGCTCCTCGCTGAGAGAAGGAGCCAGATTTGGGACTCGATCCCAGGACCCCCGGATCATGACCTGAGCTGAAGGCAGGCACTTAACTAACTGAGCCACCCAGGCATCCTGAGGAGGAGGCGGTTCTTGTGGCGGGAGGGTGGGAAGCGGGGAGTGGAGTGCTGACGGATGAGGTCAGGGAGCTGGGGGTGCAGGTCCTTAGGGCCTGTGACCACTTACAGACTTTGGCTTTGACTCTGAAAGGCAGGAGCCCCTGGAGGATCCCAAGCCGAGGAGAGGCCTGACCGGATCTGACTGAGCGCTTGCCACCACGGAGGCCAGTTCCAAGCCTCATGCCTCCCCGCTGGCTGGCTGCAGGGGTGGGGTGGGGTGGGGTGGGGGTGTTGGGGAAGTGGCTAGCTACTCCCCCAGGAGGGTGCTAGCAGAAAGGGCTCAACGGGATTCTGTTGATAGAAGCAACAGGATTTGGTGATGGACGGGACAGGACGCAGAAGCTGGCTGCTCCTGGGGAGGAGAAGTGTCCTCATTAATGTGCTACGGTTGCCTTGTAAGAGCATGTGTGATTTCTTTTTTTTTTTTTTTTTTAAAGATTTTATTTATTTATTTGACAGAGATCACAAGTAGGCAGAGAGGCAGGCAGAGAGAGAGGAGGAAGCAGGCTCCCCGCTGAGCAGAGAGCCCGATGCGGGCCTCGATCCCAGGACCCTGAGATCGTGACCTGAGCTGAAGGCAGAGGCTTAACCCACTGAGCCACCCAGGCGCCCGCATGTGTGATTTCTTAACCAGTGCCCCATGCATGGACAGCTAGGTTGTTTCCAAGTTCTGCTATTTACAAAAAAATCATATACTTAAGAGTCATAATATTTCCTTTCCTACCAACCATTTATATCTTTTGCCTGTTTTTTGTGGGCTTTTTCTTTTTTTGTTTTATTCTTTTCTTTTCTTTTTTTGCCTTTTGGTGGTTTTCCTATAGATATGTAAGAGCCCTTCCAAGAGTAAGGAAATTTACCTTTTATCTATAATTTGAGTTGCAAATTTTTTGTTTGCATGTTTTTGCTGACATGACTTGATTTATGGTGCTTGTTTGTTTTTGTTAAAGCCAGGCAAGGTGTTTGTTTTTATATGCAGACACTCTTATTTTTATAAAGTCAAGTTTGTTGATCTTCCCTTTCATTGCTTCTGGTTTTTTTCTGGGTTTTCTGGCATTCTTAGAAAAGATTTTCCTGACTCTAAGATTGAAAAAAAAATTGCCATGATTTTTTCTAACATTCTTGTGGTTTAATTGGTTATATGTATTTTTAAATTTTTTTAAAGATTTTTTAAAAATTTATTTGTCAGAGGGAGAACACAAGAAAAGGGAACAGCAGGCAGAGGCAGAAGCAGGCTCCCCGCTGAGCAAGGAGCAGATGCAGGGCTCCATCCCAGGACGCTGGGATCACCACCTGAGCTGAAAGCAGATGCTTAACTGACTGAGCCACCCAGGTGTCCCTTACTGGTTATATTTAGTTCTTTGGTGCACCTGTGTCTCAGTAGAGCTCTGGAAAAATTTCAAGTGGCCACAGAGTCGCTATGAGGGCACAGGTGCATTAGACAACCTTGGGGGCTGTGGGTGCTACTGATCCTGCCCTGATTCCCTCTGCAGTCGTGGAGTGGATACCCACCCGGGGCCGGACTGTGGCGGGGGTTTTGCTGGGGTACTCCTTTACCCTGGGTCAGCTCATCCTGGCCGGAGTGGCATACCTGATCCGCCCCTGGCGGTGGCTGCAGTTTGCTGTCTCTGTTCCGTTCCTCATCTTCTTCCTCTATTCTTGGTACGTCCCGACAAGGAGGGGTGTGGGAGGGTGCACCTGTGTGACTGAGCACCCCCCCTCGTGACAATCTGGGACTGTGTAGTGACTGGGACTTGCCGGGCGTGGTGGGGACTTGAAAGGGGGTGGATGCTTGTGGGGACCACGGGCTCACGGGCATTGCCACGGCTGTCAGGAAGCTCTGATAAAATCCCTTCCATTGATGTAGGGCTCCAGAATGTTCGAGTGGTTTTGCTTTGCTTGTCAGTTCCTTTGCAACTCACAACAGGAGGGGAACTGAGACACAGCCCAGAGAGGGCCATGACTTATTCAAGCCACACGGCAGGGTCAGAACCAGATTCAAAACTGAATCTGTGACCGTTTTTAAGTGCCTTTCAGTGGGTCCCTGTCCGCTGTGCTTTGGGAAAGGGAAGCTGGTGCGTCCCCAGTCTTCCCGAGTCTGGAGGCGGCTGGGAAGGAAACGAAGGTGTATTTGCGTTTGGAGAATGGAAGGAGCTCTACTCACCCCTGCCGTCCTTCATCCTTCTCTTGGTCCCAGGTGGCTGCCAGAGTCATCCCGCTGGCTCCTGCTGCACGGCAGGTCGCAGTTAGCCGTGGAGAACCTGCGGAAGGTGGCCGTCATGAACGGGAGAACACAGGAAGGGCAGAGGCTGACCAAAGAGGTAGGCGGCGTGGCTGGAAGAAAGGGGAGGGAACGTTTCTAATCTGGCTGGTGGCCTCAAGATGTGCCAGGACTCAGTAGCTTGCCGGGACGCGCCCACCATCCAGGTGGAGAGGCTGGGAGTGAGGAGAGAGGGAAGACTTCTGGGGAAGCGAGAAGGCATAACCATCGAAGGGCTGGGCAGTCTGCGAGAAATCATTTAACTGCTTTGTTCATCGGTCCATCCATCTCTGCCATGAGGAAATAACCCCATTCCCATGGAATTGCCGAAATTTAAATAAAATAATAAAGTGAAAATATTGAAGTAGAAGCCATAAAAGGAAATTATCAAAGAATCAATAATAAAGTTACCCTTTACGATAAACACCAGCATCAGAGAATTACCATTTGTAAGATCATCACCATTTATTATGAGTAAGTAGGGTTTCTCGAGCCCCATGCTAGTCACTCTGCTGAGGGCTTTATGTCCATAATCTCATTTAATGTGTTACTTTTGTGGTTGAGGAGGCCAAGTTTGAATGGGCCGCATCATTTGCCTAAGAACACACAGTGGGAAGTGGCAGAACTGCTCAGAACCCCTGCCCTTAACCACGGCCCAGGCCTATCTCAGAGTCTCTACTGGGAGTGAGGTGTGAGGGTCCCTCGAGAACCACAGGTGGCGATTTCAGCCTAATCAGCAGGCAGCTCAGGAGCCCTGGGACTCACACTGGAGCCTCTGCTTCATCCCGAAGCTCTGGAAACAATCTGTTGAGAGCCATCAGTCCCAGGATGCAGAGACTAGAACCAGCCATCTTGCCGGGGACTGCAGACTTGACCTTCCTCTCCCCAGATGAAGGGACTCCTCGCAGGAAAACAGGGTCCCAGATCCTTTCCTTTTGCTGATCAAACTTTCCTTGTCCAGGTGGTGAACTCCTACCTCCAGAGTGAGATCACAAGTGTGCGCACCTCCAACTCGGTCTTAGACCTCTTTCGAACCCCGGCCATCCGGAAGGTCACGTGCTGTCTCATGGTGGTCTGGTAGGTGATGTGCTCGAGCCCATGTCTTTGACCTGAGGCAGGGCTAAGCCTCTTATCCCCACTTCCAAACTCTGTTCTCAAATACTCTTAATGCAATGAGCAGGTGAGCCTCGTGAATTCGATCTTGTTCCCTACCCTTTCTCTACGGTACTCTGGCCCTCTGCTCAGTACTAAGATGTGGTCATAGATGAGACATTTGTGCTGACCTGGGGATCCCACATCTGGACAGTGGGTCTCACCTTGGTGGGGGTGGGGGCGCCCATTGGAATCACCCACGCAGCTTTTCCAACATGCACCTTGTCCCCTCCTGATAGGCCCTTGGGGCTCTCCAGGAGATTCTGGGAAGTGTCCAACTCTGGAGAAACACCTGTGGGTCAGAAAGGGACAGACAGAGAGACAATAATGTCTATGAGGTATGACAAGTGTCCTTACAGCAGTTCTTCTGTCTGGAGCTGCTGAGCACATCATGCAGGAGATGGCATCTAAGTGGGTTTTACAAAAACGGTTGTGGAGTTTGCCAGGGGACCAGGAGGGATTCAGAGAGGCCATCTAGATAAACAGGAAGTGTAAAACGGATCAAACTACAAGGACCACTTGTTCCCATTAGCACAGACTGGAGCTGGCAAATCCTAAGATGAGGAATGGATTTAGAAAGGGGGTAGAGGGCATTTTAAGGACCAGGATGTCCTAGGTATGTAAATAGTAAGGGTTGATATTTACGAAGTAGGGAACACAGGCTACAAGTCATCTGTTCTCAGGAGGACACACAGCATTCTTGTTCAGTGGTTACCGGCCAGGCTGTGGTAGATGACCAGATGACCTGGGTGACCTTGAGCGAGGCAGCCAGCCTCCTGGTGCCACAGTTTCTGGCTTGGATGCCTATCACTAAGGTCCTTTTGAAAACTAAATGTTTAGACATGTAACCCCCACACCCGGCCGAGTTAAGTGCTCAGGTAGCGTCTCTGATTTAAGTTTGGAGCTGTGTCCCCTATGCACTGGAAACAGGATTGTCCACCACTCTGGACCTTTGGAGGGCTTCTGCCCTGGGCAGCCAGAGGGCTCCTCAGAACCCAAGTTGGGACCCGCCCCCTGCTTCGCTCTCCTCTTCCCACCGGGAAGAATCATCATGAATGAAAAATTCCAGGGTTGAAAGTCCCCTCTTGGATCCTTCTGGAGAGAATAAGCTAAGGCCCGTTTCTGTTTGAAGGAAGTAATTCGGGCAGCTAAGGACTGGGTCAGCCGGATGGAGTTTCTGCAGGCAGGTGGGGAGAATTGGGAGGAGGAAGAAGAATTTTGAGGAACTGGTAGGTTCTGTTGACCTGAGGCAGGGCTAAGCCTCTTATCCCCACTTCCAAACTCTGTTCTCAAATACTCTTAATGCAATGAGCAGGTGAGACTCATGAATTCGATCTTGTTCCCTACCTGTTTTACAAGCTCCTGTTGTAAATGCCTCCCATAACGTGGATTTCTTTTTCTCTACTGGTTGGTTGTTTTTTTATTCCTAAATTACAAAACCACTGCATACTCATTGGGAGAAAATTTGTTTTTTCAAACAACCCAGAAACAGAGACAGGGTCATGTTTTGGTTGTGAGGCAGGACTCTCAAGTGTAGTTCAATTTAAAAAACAAGACAAAACAGGGGCGCCTGGGTGGCTCAGTGGGTTAAGCCTCTGCCTTTGCCTCAGGTCATCAGCCCAGGGTCCTGGGATTGAGCCCTGCATCGGGCTCCCTGCTCAGCAGAGAGTCTGCTTCTCCCCCTCCCTCTGCCTGCCACTCTGCCTACTTGTGCTCTCTCTCTCTGTCAAATAAATAAATAAAATCTTAAAAAAATTAAAAACAAAATAAAAATTAAAAACAAGACAAAACAAAAGGCAGGACTCTGGAACCCAACTGCTTGGATTTGAATCTCAGCTCTGCCACTTATCTGCCACAGCTCTGTCTGTGTCATCTTGGGCGAGTTCCTTGACCTCTCTGTGCCTCAGTTTCCCCACCTGTAACACTGATATCATAATAGTACCTCCCACATAGGGTGGTTGTGGAGATTAGAAGCATTCACGTATAGAACAGTATCTTGGTAAACTCAAGACTTGTACCTGTTATCACTGTACGGAAGAAAATCGAATGCTCCTTCTCCCACTCTGTTTGCCCCGCCCCCCCCCAGCAGCAAGCCCTGCCAAGCATGAGTCCATATTCTTCCAGACCTTTGTACACAGAAGACGCCACATGTATTCTTACAAAAATGGGTCAGTACCACACATATCCTCTACTTGCTTCTAATAACGCAACCATATCTGTAAATATCTTTGCATGTTACATGAACCCAGACCTGCCTAGAGTCAACAAGAATTACTGTATCAGCTTTCTAGAAGGGTCTTTTCTTCTCTGTCTCCCCGACTCACGTAGCTGGGGGTAGGTGGGAGGATGGGAGGCGTTTCTCAGTAAGCACTAAGGGGGCAGAGGCCGGGGTCCTGCTTGGAGAGGGCCCCCTGCCAAATTCCATTTTTCCACCTCCCCCTGCCCCCGGATGTCCCAGAGCTTGTGTCGGCATGAGGTGTTGCAGGGAAACGTAGCCAGGCCGACCCACCAGGTGCATGAGGGCCTGTCCCATGCTTTTAATGTTAAGTGGGCTCAATGACACGTAACGAAGTTTGGCATCGCGATGGTTGATCACTGTGCAGTTTAGCGCCTGCTTCCTGCTTCCGAAGGCTGAGTAATTGCCCGCATTCCCCACGTGCTGTTTATCTACCCATCAGTTGATGGACACTTGGGCTTGCTTCCACCTTTCCGCTCTTGTGAACAATGCTGCTATGAACACGGATGTGCAAATACCTCTTTGAGACACTGCCACAGGGACATTTTAAATTTCTCTAGAGCCCCGCCCTCCCAAGTGTGGGAATTCCAGACTTTTGCCATCAGATTGACTGTAAACCCTGCCTTGGCAGAAGCAGCCATCTACAGGTGCAGACTTCTCAGTAAACATCGGGAGACGCAGTGAGGGTCCGACGGGGTCTTCGCCTGGTTGGAAGGCTCTCGTTTTCTCCTTCCAGCTCTTAGATGTGAAGCTCAGATCAGCCACTGAAGGGAGGAGGAGGGGCTGGAGCAGTGCAGATAGGGAAAAACACTCACACTCCGGAGCCCATACTTGGACCCGGGGAGCAGGTGCTTAAGCAGGGACATGGAGGGAGGGTAGCCTGGGCTCTAAAACCCAAGTCAGAGACTTGGATTTGGTGAGGGGAAGGGGAGGGGTATGTTAAATTCAGGGGATTTTCACTCCCTGAAAATGGAGTCCTATGTCATTCATCCTGTGCGCCATCCCCTGGGTCCAGAATTATGGACCTTGGGCTGAAGCAGGACCATTCTGCTGCCTCTTCCAGGTTCTCCAACTCCATGGCTTACTACGGGCTGGCCATGGACTTGCAGAAGTTTGGACTCAGTGTATACCTGGTGCAGGTCGTGTTTGGGGTCATAGACATCCCGGCCATGCTGGTGGCCACCACCACCATGATTTATGTGGGCCGCCGGGCCACCGTGGCCTCCTTCCTCATCCTGGCTGGGCTCATGGTGATCGTGAACATGTTTGTGCCTGAAGGTGAGCCATCTGCTCTTGCCGTGACCGCCCGGGAGTCTCTGGGGTCTGGTGGGCCTTGACTACAACAAGGGAACAGGACTGAGGGATGTTCTTCAGGATCTGGAAAGGAAGTGACTCTCTATTAGCAGAGTTTTTACTAAGCACTCAGGACTCAGTATCAGGGTCACGGTGGAGAATTGGCAGACACGAGTCTTTGCCCCCAAGGCATTTACCATCTTGTCAGGGAGATCAGGTTGATGACCTTTGAAATTCCCAGTGCCCAGTGGTTCCAGTGTCAAGGAATGGGACCCAACTGTAGGTATCTAATAAACAGTCCAGTGATTCCAACAAGAAGCCGGGGTTGAGTGTCAAGAGTCCTAGAGCTTGTGGGAAGCCAAGGACTCATGGCCTTGGGCTACTTGTCTGATTTCTCCGTGTCTTATTACTTCCCTGTGGAATAGTACATTACTACTATTGGTATTTTGACATATTTTCTTCCAATCTTTTCTTCTTTTTGTAGATTTTGTATTTGACATAATTGAGATAATATTATATGTGTGTATACATATGATTATTTTATATATGTGTATATCTTATTTATATATATAAAATATATCCTATTTCACTATATAACATAAATGTACTTTTTCATTTTATTTATTTATTGTTATTATTATTTTTAAAGCTTTTTTTCATTCAGTTTAGAGAGAGTGCCAGAACGTGGTGGGAGGAGCAGAGAGGGAGGGTTGACCCCAGGACCCCGAGATCATGACCTGAGCTGAAGTCAGTCGCTCACCTGAGCCACCCAGAGTCCCCTATTTATTATTATTTTTTTAAGTAGACTCCATGCCCAGTGTGGAGTCCAGCGTGGGACTTGAACTCATGACCCTGAGGTCAACACCTGAGTTGAGACCGAGAGTTGGATGTTTAATGGCCTGTGCCACCCAGGCGCCCCAAGATGCTTGTTCCTGTTCATACAAATGTCCCATGACCCCAGTGTTGTATTACTGTATGACAATTCATCCAGATTGGTAGAATCTCCGAGGGACCTTGAAAGAAATACCCAAATTTGAGGCTCTCCCCAAGAGGCTTTAATGTCATGGAGAGGGGGTAGGGCCCAGGTGTGGGTATCTTTTAAGTCTCCCCTCCTGGACCCAGTGCGCAGCCGGAGGACGTACCATAATTTCCTTGAACGTTGCTTGGGGGTTGGGCGAGCCGTGGGGGTTTTACGGTTCATAACCAACAGCAGGACAAGTTAATAATGGTAAGAGCAAACACTGAGTGAGCGCTGAGCCCTTTGCACTCCTGACGTCATGGAAACGTATGACAACCCGGTGAAGCAGGTGCTGGTATTTTCCTCATTTTATGGTTGAGGACACCAGAGAGGTTAAATGCAAGTGACCAAGGTCACCCAGCTGGGTCAGAGCTGGGGTTTGAACCCAGGCCTCACTCCAAAGTTTGTCTTGCCTCGGAAAGGGGAAAAGGAGGCAGAAGTGAGAGAAGGTCAGGGTGGGGCATTCCGGGGTCTCCGGGGCAACATGAGGTGGTGCAGATTCCAATCCCTGACGCCCGCTGCTTGGCCTCCCTCCTCCCTTTTTGGGCTCTGAGCCTCAGCCTCAGCCTCTTCCCCATATCCCATCCCCTTCCGAGCACCCCTGCTCCCACTGCTACCCTTCTGCCTCCCTGACGCCTTTGGGGCTCTTGAGCTCCCCCTAACCCCCGGCTCTGTCCACCTTTCTGCAGATATGCAGACCCTGCGCACAGCCCAGGCAGCACTAGGCAAAGGCTGCCTGGCCAGCTCGTTCATCTGTTTGTACCTGTTCACTGGAGAGCTGTATCCCACAGAGATCAGGTGGGTCCATGGGGTGAGGGGAGCAGAGCAGCACCTGCCCCAAGCTGGGAGACCCCGGAGCCCCAGGCCTCAGCACCTGCTGAGTTTGCTGAAGTAGGACCCCTCTTCCTTTCCATCTGCCCCCTGACACCTGGGGCCCGGCCCTCTAGGCAGTCTGGGCCACAGCCACTGACCAGTCTGCACTTTTTAGGCAGATGGGGATGGGCTTTGCCTCGGTCAGTGCCCGCTTTGGGGGTCTGGTTGCACCCCTAATCGCCACGCTCGGGGAGTTCAGTGCCATCCTGCCCCCCATGGGCTTTGGGGCCACTTCGATCCTGGCTGGGCTGGCTGTCGGCTTCTTGGCTGAGACCCGCAACGCGCCCCTGCTGGAGACCATCGAGGCCATGGAGAGGAGGTAAGGAGCCTCTGGGCATGGTGGGGAGGGGGTGAGGATGACCAAACAGGCTGCAGGTTCCTGTGAAATGACCTGGGGCCATGAGGGTCCTCCTGCTGCTGTACCAATGTCATGGTGGGTAGGTGGGAGCCACCCCGGGAAGACCAGCCTCGCCCACCCACCTTTGTCTAAGAGGCTTGGCTTTCATCAAGGACAGACCCAACCGTGAATGGTGACACAGAACGAAGAATAAATTGGAGACCAGGCAAAACAGGGAAATGAGTTGAGGTCAAGCCTGGCAGAGACATGGGGATGACAGTTTGTAGGGAGGAGAGGTGCCACATTCGGAAGCAAAGACAGGCCTGTGTGTCTGCCGGGGTGGCCTTCCAGATTGGCCCAGAACAACAGAAAAGGAGACACCCCCCCTTAATGACTTTTGTCATATTGTCAGAGAGGAAAAGCGCTACCGGTTCTCTGGGGAAAGCGAAACTCTCCTCAACAATTAACACTGGAAGAAATTTCTCTCATGGATCTCCTCGGGGAGGTCACTGAGAAGGTGATGTCCTTGAGGATCTTTCTGAAAATGCGGTGGACTTGGTGCGTTTCCCAGCAACAGTGGGGTCACCGAAGATCCTTGGCTGTGGGGAAAGGGACGAGGGAAGGGAACAGGGCCTGAGGCTGTAGCTCGGGGTCCAGCTTGATCTGGCAGCCGGAGCCGTTGCCCCAGGGACCTGCGAGGTGGACTGTGTTTGAAATCCTAGCTCTAGAAAAATCTCAGTAATGCCAAATGAATTCGAGTTTTGGGTAACAGAGCTCCCTTTGATCCTGCCAGGAACATTTATTATAAAGCTACTGTATGTTGTTACAGATGTGAACCAATTACATGATGGAGACCATTTACTAAAACTAATTTAATTTAAATTATTGAGAGAGAGAGTGCAGGGGGAGAGGGAGGGAGAGAGAGAATCTGAAGCAGACTCCATGCCGAGCACGGAGCCAGACATGGGGCTCAATCCCACAACCTTGAGATCACGACCTGAGCCGAAATCAAGAATCCGATGCTTAACGGACTGAGCCACCCAGGCACCCCTAAAAATAATTTTATTTTTTTAAATTGTTGAGGGGCACCTGGGTGACTCAGTTGGTGAAGCATCTGCCTTCGGGTGAGGTCATTAACCCCGGGGTCCTGGGATCGAGCCCCAAGTTGGGCTCTAGGCTCCCTGCTCAGCTGGGAGTCTGCTTCTCCCTCTGCCTGCTGCTCCCCCTGTGTTCTCTCTCTGTGTCAAATAAGTAAGTAAAATCTTTATTTTTTTAAAGATTTTATTTATTTACTTGAGAGAGAGAGAGAGCAAGAGAGGGGAGAAGGTCAGAGGGAGAAGCAGACTCCCCTCAGAGCTAGGAGCCCGATGTGGGACTTGATTCCGGGACTCCGGGATCATGACCTGAGCCGAGGCAGTGGCTTAACCAACTGAGCCACCCAGGCACCCCAGTAAGTAAAATCTTTAAAATAAAATAGTTGGGAGCAAGCCATTCTTTCTCACAATGATTTGTTGATCGGATCTGACCTAGCTGGTCCTACAGGAGCCTGGTCGTCCCAGGGGGTGTGGAGACCTTGACCACGTGGGGAAACTAACCAACATCCAAAAACAGGGGGTTCCCTGAAGCTTCACAAATGCTGCAGAGTTGTCCCAGATTTTGTATGGTTTTATCGTTTATTTTTTAAATTAACGTATGTTTGAGGGCGTTTGCGTCTGTGTCTGTGTGTTGAGCGAGGTCTGGGGCAATCTCAAAAATACCCTCTTTGTCTGAACCCTGGGGGAGAACGTTGTCGAGACCCCTCCACCAAATACTCTAATGTGTAATTCTCTCCAACAAGGATGTTCTGTTACACAACCTCAGTGGAGCCATCCCAGTCAGAAAGCTAATATTGATACATGATTTCCATTTAGTCCTCTGGCCTCCTTCTGCTTGTCTTCCCCACCCCCATCCCTGGCCCCACCCCCAACATCCTATAGAGCAAGAGGATGTGGCTTGGAATCAGAAGAGGCATTTAGACGTTGTATTTTGTTTGGGCTGGATGAAGTCCTCCGGTGTTCTCGGACTCTCTAGACTCCAACAGTTAGACAAGGTTTTATACTAGGAAGGACAAGTGTGAGGCCATAAAGCACACTTATAAAGGGCTTTCAGGAGATGAAGGATACAAAACAGTTAAGAGGGAAAAAAAAATGCAGGCAACCATCAGGAAGGCCCAGGGCATCCTGGTGCACCACCCGGGGGTCCTGTCTGCCCTCTGGTCTCTGTCACAGACTGTCAGCATGAAAGGGAGATACCAAAATCTCAGGGAAGCCTAGGCACATACACCTGCTGAGGGGTTTTCTCGGTATCCCGTTGGTCACAGCTAAAATCAGGTTGTAGAACCAGGTAAACCAACTGCAGACCATAAGTTCATAATTTTCAACAAACCATACTAGACGGGCTGGGAGAGGTGGCCTCCAGAGGGAGAGTCCCACTTTGACAGCACCTGATCAATTACTGGCTAGTCCATTTCATCCTTGCTGTGGTTGATGGTCAGTGTTTTGGCTCCAGGTGTCTTTGAAGTTGAACACGGAGCTGCCACAGACTAGCTATGAATTCACCATGACCTTGACCTTTTTGAAGATGCCAGACCAGTTGTTCTGTAGATTTCCCCCCGGTTTGGGGTCTTCCGATGTTACCGGTTGCAGCTTAGACATCTCTGGCACTGTTATCACAGGCGTGAGCCCGAGTCCTGCTCATTGTATCCCACCAGCTGGTACAACTTTTTGACTTCTGTGTTCTTTCACAATTCTTTCAGTATGTCCTTGTTTTCTGGATAGTCTAAGCTCCTTTCCCCGTAGCTGTCTTGGTAGCCCCTTTCCCTGATGACTTGGTTCATTTTAAGAAAGACTGGTATTTAGAAGCCAAGGTCCTTGGGGGTGCCTGGATGGTTCAGTTGGTTAAGCGTCTGCCTCTTGATTTTTGGCTCAGGTCACGGTCTCAGGGTTGTAAGATGGGCCCCCGCCATTGGGCTCAGCAGAGAGTCTGTTTGAGATTCTCTCTCTCCCTCTGCTCCTCCCCCACCCTTCTCTCTCTCTCTCAAATAAATCTTAAATTAAAAAAAAATCCAAGATCCACGTATGAGGGACTCATTATTATGGGTTTTTTCCTGCTCTCAAGCCCTCTCAGTAGACAGAAGTAGGGAATATATGAATATACATATAGATACAGAGACCAGTACATCTTTTTTTTTTTTTATATCTGTAGATCGTACTGAAAACCATGAGTCACACCATTACTTCCAACTCCAATCCAGCAGCACCCACCACCAGGTTTATCCCAGTTTGTTCTCTTTTCATATTTAACTCCCTTCTCTGACAAGGAGAAACCTGCCTTCCCTCAGCCTTAACCTAGTTGCCTAACTCATCAATCTGCCAACATGTAACCCATCCCTCTCCTCCACGGACCCCTCTATACCCCCCTTGGGCTCCAAAACCCCATCCTGGGCCGGCCCTCTATGTGGACACCTACCTTGCTTTGCCCCACATGATGGCTTTAAGATCAAATTGTTCATGAAGAGAAGGGAAGAAAAGTTTTTTCATATATTCTTGATGAAGTCGTCACTGTCATAAACAGATAAAGGACAATCCCCCTGACCTCCCCACTCCGCCAACCTCACATGCCTCTAGATGCCCCCTTGAGATTATAGCAAGTATAACAAGGCCAAAAGGTAGACTAGCCACATTCAGAGCCTGTTTGCATCTCATATAAACTTTTGCATAAGAAATCTAAAGTTGTGAGTGATTTTTTGGTTAATATTGTGTTTATTTATTTGAGAGAGAAAGAGAGAGAGCACGAGCGGCAGGAAGGGCAGAGGGAGAGGGTAAAGCAGAATTCCCACTTAACACAGAGCCTGACGGGGTCTTGACAGGGCTCAATCCCAAGGTCCTGAGATCATGACCCGAGCTGAAGTCAGATGCTTCCCTGTCTGAGCCACCCAGGCGCCCCTAAACCTGTGATTTATTAAGGAGGAAATAGCACGATGCTTTTTTAGCAAATAGAATGGGCTCACATCTTGGGGAACAAAACCTGCTCTTGGGTTGGAGCTGGACGAGCAGTTGTTTTGGGACAGTTTCTCAACCATTTCTCATTATCACCCCTCCCCTCCCCACTGCGGGGACTTTTCTATATATACATTTCTTTCCCCCTAATCACACCCCCACCCTCCCAATAACAATGTAATACCACAGATACACTGTGTATCTGTTGACGTACTGTGGCCCTTTGGAAGGCCACAAACCATTTACTATCTCAGATTTTTTGTGTCCCCCCTCCCCCCACCAAGAACCAGTTTTTGCCTCCTGGGGACAACATCACCCCGGTGAAGAATGAGTGTTCTTCATGATTACCTGTTCCAATAGCCATGGGACCTCTTGCAATTAGGATTTTTTTTTAAAGATTTTAATTTATTTACTTATTTATTTATTTGAGAGAGAGAGAGAGAGAGAGCTTGAGATGGGAGAAAGTCACAAGGAGAAGCAGACTCCCCATGGAGCTGGGAGCCCAATGCGGGACTTGATCCCAGGACTCTGGGATCCTGACCTGAGCGGAAGGCAGTCGCTTAACCAACTGAGCCACCCAGGCACCCGTAGTTAGGATTTTTAGAGCCCCTGCGGGGCTTATAATCAGATAACACATTTAATATGCTCCTGCATGATTCTCGAGGGTTCTGGTCCATGTTCTTCTTTAATAACCTGTCCAGGGTTCTTCTTGACAATTCCCCCATAACCAAATAAGAGACAGAAACAACTCAACTTGTTTTGGTTTCGTAGGAAATGGTGATGTTGGGGAACCGGAGGCAAGAAACAGCCTCTGTTGAGTCGGTCAAGCAGAATTTCCGATATCCGAAAAATAAGGATTCAAGAACTGCTCAGCCCATTTCCTTTTTCTCCATTTCTAATTTCATCAAATAACTGTGAATGCTAGTCCCAGGCCTGGGGTGTCATGGATTAGGATGAGAAGAAAATGTCTCTTTTCAAGGTTCACATTACCCATCTCCAAAATGGCGGCAAACCAAGAGGGATTAGCAGTAACACACCTTCTACTACTGGTTCCTGGGTTATGTAAAGATGTGAGGGAACTTCCTGTTTTTACTTCACAGGCTGCCAAAAATCCATTTGTTAATGAATAATTTCTATGTAAATTGTTCCTATCCTTCATTAATCACAAGACCAGATACTGTTTTTCCAGAATGGTCTGTATGCCCGGTGTGGGGCCGGGTCAGCCTCCGTGACCCAGTTGGGCTTATGCCCCAGTTTGTTGGGGCAACACAGCAAAGGCAGGCGAGAATTCTACCACTGAACCATCCATGCACAACACAGCAAAGGAGGAGTGGACTAACCCTGCTCAAAAAATCCTCTTCTGTGAGAACAGAACATTCACAAAAGAGGAAATGCTGATAGAAAATAAACAAGAGGAAAGCTATTCACGGCAGTCATAATCAAATAAATGTAAATTAAAATGGGAAAGAGGTCATTTTAAAATATCCAATAAAGAAAACGTTGAAAACATAGTAGTAGTCAAGGAAGATGTATAGACAGGAAGGAGGAAACTCCTGCAAGTTTCTGGAAGTTTCTTTGGCATTACTGATCATGAGATGGCAAATTTTCATATACTTCTAAGTAGCAACAACATTTGCAGGATTCTGCCCTAAGCAAATCAGCTGAAATGTGGACAAAGGATATTGAACAAGGATATTCATCACCATGTTTAATATGCCCGGAAAAAAATGTAAACTTTCCAGCTCTCCAACAATTTCAATCAATTATAATATACCGTGCAGTAGTAAAAAGTTATGTTGATGAAGACTTTTTTTTTAAAGATTTTATTTATCCACTTGACAGAGATCACAAGCAGGCAGAGAGGCAGGCAGAGAGAGAGGGGGAAGCAGGCTCCCCACTGAGCAGAGAGCCCAATGTGGGGCTCAATCCCAGGACCCTGAGATCATGACCTGAGCTGAAGGCAGAGGCTTTACCCAATGAGCCACCCAGGTGCTCCTGATGAAGACTTTTTAAGGGCCCGGGGAATGTTTATACTATATTTTTAAATATTAAAATTAATTATGATATTTCCTAATTATGTCAAGAAATAAGAGACTCAGGGTGCCTGGGTGGCTCAGTGGGTTAAAACCTATGCCTTCGGCTCAGGTCATGATCTCAGGGTCCTGGGATCGAGCCCCACATCGGGCTCTCTGCTTCGTGGGGAGCCGCTTCCTCTTCTCTCTGCCAGACTCTCTGCCTACTTGTGATCTCCGTCTGTCAAATAAATAAATAAAATCTTTAAAAAAAAAAAAAAGAAGAGACATCTGGCTGGCTTAGTTTGTGGAACATGCACCTCTTGATCTTGAGGTCATGAGTTCAAGCCCCACATCGGGTGTGGAGATAACTTAAATAAATGAATAAATAAATAAATAAATAAATTAAATTAAAATAAACTTCAAAAAAAGGAATAGAGACTCACAAGAAAGAAATACGTTAAAATGGTGACAATTGTTGCCTCAAGGTATGAGTGACAATTTTTTTCCTGGTTACTTTTTTTTTTTTAAGATTTTATTTATTTATCTGACAGAGAGATCACAAGTAGGCAGAGAGTCAGGCAGAGGGAGAGAGAGAAGCAGGCTGTCTGCTGAGCAGGGAGCCCGATGTGGGACTCGATGCCAGCATCCTGGCATCACGACCTGATCCGAAGGCAACCGCTTAACGAACTGAGCCACCCAGGCACCCCCTGGCTACTTTACATTTTTAAAAATTATCTCCAGGGGTGCCTGGCTGGCTCAGTTGGAAGAACATGCGACTCAATCTTGGGGTCCTGAGTTCAAGCCCTGCACTGGATAGAGATTAGTTAAATAAATAAAACTTGAAAAATATTTTAATATGAAAATTATCTCCAAATTGTCTATATTGAGCAGGCTTTCTTTGGTAACCAAGAGGGAGAGGCACACAATGAAAACAATTATAAGAATTCAGTTAGGTCGGGGCACCTGGGTGGCTCAGTCATTGAGCGTCTGCCTTCGGCTCAGGTCATGATCCCAGGGTCCTGGGATCGAGCCCCGCATTGGGCTCTCTGCTCGGCGGGGAGCCTGCTTCTCCCTCTCCCAGTCCCTCTGCTTGTGTTCCCTCTCTCGCTGTATCTCTCTCTGTCAAATAAATAAAATATTTAAAAAATTAAAAAATTAAAAAAAAATAATTCAATTAGGTCATTTCCCAGGCACAGGGAAGCCCTTCTCAAGGCCCAGAAGCTAGGGATGGGTCTGGAAAGAGGTTAATGCTCCTTAAAGCCTGCCAAGATGGTGGAAAGACCCAGAGGAGAGGCCACAGGGCCTGGGCAAATTTGTGAGGCTCCAGTTAGTGACCTTCCATGGAGTTTCTTCCACTGGTAGTGGGGACTTAGAGAGGTGAGGGGGTGGGAGATGGGTTGCAGGCTTTCAGCAGGAGGTCTGACGCTCCACCATGACTAAAGCCCAACCCATTGGTCAGCTGGGACCTCCTGCCACCGTCTCATGCATGGTGAACAACAGCTGCATGGCTGACCCCAGTACACTTTTAATGCTTATTGTATTATATTCCAGAATTAAAAAAAAGAAGACCATGGATTTCAGGTTCTACAACAGGCCTTCTGGTCATCTTTGCTCATATGATGAATTTTAAAAATGGCGTTGAGCCAGTCTAACCATTGGAGCAGTTGAATCTGGAGAATGTCTGCCTTTGGGTTTTTAGGATTGTCTTTGGAAGGGATGGGGAATCCGTGGGTGGGAGCTGAGGAGACAGAGGCAGGCGGGACAGGCACACAACGGGTAAAACCAATAAGCTGAATGGACCCAAGAGACAGAGTCAGAAAGTCTACAAGACTTCAAGTGCAGAAAAGACAGACATGGAGGACAGTAGAGTTAGAAAGAGACATTTCTTTGGGATTATGTGAAGAGATAATCACACCCAAAAATGGCTTAAACCATTGGACTAAAAGGTTAGAAATAAAAGAGTTACAATCCAGGATGAAAACTCTGATAAAAACATCCGAAACATTGAAAATGTTCTCAAACTGGAGCCAGCGAAAGTAGACCGGAGAAATTGACGAGAGGTGTAAATGATGAAAACGAGAAATAAATGAAGACTAACAAAATTATGTAGAACAAACCATTCTCAGGGTGCACAATTCCAGGATAAAATAAAAGGGACCACAACCCAAATTATTTCAACGATAGAGGAATACAATCGAAAAAGGCAAAACGGCACCTGTTCAAAGGACAGAAAGCCCCATGGGGCAGCCTTCACACCGTTTGGGAGGCCCAGCCCCTGATTTTCCTCTCTGCTCCTGCCTGACTGATTCTCTACCTGGGGCAGAGGGAGAAGGGCCTTGGCAGTGCCCCATCCCCCCACAGTCTCTGTGGGTGTCCTTGGTCCGCAAGGAAGCTAGGCCCAGCCCCAGCAAGTTCAGTGAGCCTGGTGCCCCATTCACCAGTTGAGAGACCTTGGGTGTGTGTCTGGCCTCAGATCTTCATTGGAAAACTTTTTAACCTTGCAGTCTTTCCCTGAGGGGCCCCCATGAGAACTAGGGGAAGGGCCGCTGTGGCTTCTACCATCCTTGGGGTTTGCGGACAGTAGAGACCCAAGTCTTGAAGGCTGTGCACACACCACCTACTTCTTGCCACCTCCTTTCTGCCTTTTTGTCTTATTTTTCCATTTGCCTTTTCATTTCAACAGAGTCAAAGGAGGTCTTTCCAAGAAGGATGAAGAAGAGAAGAGGGAAGAAATTTCTCTCCAGCAGCTAGGAGCTTCTCCCCTCAAAGAAACCATCTAAGCTGCCAGAAGCCTGGTGCTGGCTCACAATACCTCTCTGGGTGTTCAGACACCCCCACGGCTGTTCCTGACGCTGATGGGGGTGAGGTAGGCCAAGGACCGTCAAGACTCTTCAAGTCCATCCCAAAGAGCCAGCCACAAACCAGGGCTCTGGTTCCTGGAAAGAAACTGACCACCAGCAGCCAACTGGCATCACAAATGTGTAAAAAGTCAAGAGAGACCCTGTCCAGGTGCCAAACATTGTGTCTTTGCAAGGTTAGGGTGGCTGACATTTGTGCCCCTGGTTGTCCCTGGGACGGCCCCACCCAGCTTGTCCTTGCGAACTCACTCTGCTCCACTCCTTTGGCATTTACTCTGTCTTGACCGTATATGCAATTAAACTCTCTTCTCCTAGTTTGTATGACTTACCTTCTCGACTAGCAAATGTGGGATTTGCACGTGGCACATGCTTAGTAAGTAGTTGGTTGAATATGTGATGAAGCCGGACTCAGGCACTGGATGGAAACCTCTACCCCTCCCACGCATTCCTGGCAATACCACCTTGCAGAAACAGGATGTGGCTTGGTTCTCCAAACATCTCACAGGGAGGTGAATTCCTGGTATCCCTCTGACTTCAGATCCATTTCCAGTCCAGATGTTGGACAGGTGTCTGCACCCCTGACCTTGGCCTTCTCTGTCACTCAGATTGGATTCATGAAGGATTCAAATCCTGGTTCACTGAGTAGTCTTGAGCAAACTTCCTTGTCTGATCCCTTCTCCCTGGAATTTCCAGAGAATCGATGAGATCAGGGCTCCACCCCTAAAGCTCTAGAAAAAAGGACAATCTGGGAAAAAAGTAAGAATATCACAGTTTGGGCAGGAACCATTGTAATATGTCATTTCTCCAAGGTCAAGTCTTTCAGCAGCTCACACTTTGGAACAGAGCTTGAAGGAGAATCCTCCAGAAAGCTGTCCCAAGGCATGAGCCCTGATGCACCAAAGCCTCAGTTCCTCCCACAGATCTCACTTCTCATTCAGCGATCTTTGATGTGAGTTTCCTTTCTGAGTTGTTCTCAACCCACAGCCCCCAGCGGATCAGTAATTTGAAAGGCAGCAGGCTGCTGTCATGCCTTAAGATCCACCATGACAGTCCCTGCCTCCAGGCAGCAGCATTCCCCGACCTTCCCTGCCTGCCTCTGGGTGATTCTGCCCTCACCGTTTGTGATGGATTCATTACAGGCTGATCTAGCCTCGTGGCTCCTTGAAGACAGTTATGTCAACTTCGTGTGTAGCTACCATGGTCCACTCAGAGCAGGAACTCAGTTCATGTTGCTGGGGTGGATGAAATGGTCATGAGGATTTTTTTTAGAAAGTGACATGTAGGGCGCCTGGGTGGCTCAGTGGGTTAAGCCTCTGCCTTTGGCTCAGGTCATGATCTCAAGGTCCTGGAATCAAGTTCCGCATCAGGCTCTCTGCTTGGCAGGGAGCCTGCGTCCTCCTCTCTCTCTCTGCCTGGCTCGCTGCCTACTTGTGATCTCTCCCTGTCAAATAAATAAATAAAATCTTTAAAAAAAATGATATGTCACTGCTGAACTCTGAGGGAGGAGGCAGAAAAACAAAATGGAAGACCTGAATAGAGAAACAAGATTTTGTACAAGTTTTATTGAAAAGCAGAATTTGAGAGCACCCGAGTGGCTCAGTCAGTTAAGCGTCTGCCTTTGGCCCAGGTCATGATCTCCAGGTCCCGGGATCGAGCCCCGGATCAGGCTCCCTGCTCAGTGGGGAGCCTGCTTCTCCCTCTCCCTCTGCTGCTCCCCCTTCTTGTGCTCTCTCACTCTATCTCTCTCAAATTAATAAAATCTTTTTAAAAAGCCCAGAATTTGAGTAAATTTGAAGGTCTAATTAACTTTATTCAACATTTCATGCATCAGGCAACAGCTCATCCAGAATGTAGAAAGGAGCTCTGAGGATCTACACAGAATGGAAAGCTTTTGTGGACAGAAAAGGATAGGGATATGGCAGTCATAAACAAAAGAAAGGATTATTTCAAGAAGGTAACCTTCCTTTAGGAAAGGACAGATTGTCGAGGGGTCTTTATCAAGCAGATGACCTCACTGGGGTTGATCAGGAAATTCCAGACTGATTGGTTCCAGCCTCTCCCAGAAAAAGCTAAAACTGCCATTCAGTTAGGTATTAAGTCTTGGTTCGTTGGTGTGGGGTTTGGCACAAGTGACTCTATTTTGGCCTGTTGTTCCTTTTTTTAACGATTCTGCCCTTTTTTTTTTTTAAAGATTTTATTTATTTATTTGAGAGAGAGACAGTGAGAGAGAGCATGAGCGAGGAGAAGGTCAGAGAGAGAAGCAGACTCCCCGCGTAGCCGGGAGCCCGATGCGGGACTGGATCCCGGGACTCCAGGATCATGACCTGAGCCGAAGGCAGTCGTCCAACCAACTGAGCCACCCAGGCATCCCCGATTCTGCCCTTTTGATTGGACTCCCAACCTGAGAGGATGTGATCAAAGTTTAAGGCATGGGTGCCACTCTCAGTGACTGCTCTGTACTTGTCCCAGCACGTACTGATCCTCTGGGTGACATAGAGGCCACAAGTCAGGATGGTTTTTGCAAGGTTTATTACCGAATCTCTGGTATTCACAAATCATGACTTCAGGTTTACAATTTTTTAGTCTTTATTCCTTTCTGATGTTCCAGTTTTCGAGAGATCATTTTCTTGGTGGTTAGTAGCTGCCAACATGCATTTAAACTTTTGAGAGAGGGACGTCTGGGTGGCTCAGTCGGTTAAGCATCTATCTTCAGCTTGAGTCATGATCCGGGGATGCTGGGATCGAGTCTGGCATCAGGTTCCTCGCTTAGCAGGGAGCCTGCTTCTCCCTCTGCCTGCCGCTCCCCCTGCTTGTGCTCTCTCTCTCTCTGACAAATAAATAAATAAAATCCTTTAAAAACAAATAAACTTTTGAGATAATACAACATGCCAGGGAGATTACTCTGGTTATTATAGACAGGATAATTCCCAGTGACCGGAGCACACTTCAGAGCTATGGTGCCCGGGACCCAAACCAATCCAAATCAGATGAGTCAAAGACCCCTTTGAAGGAGTCACCTTTCTAAGCCAAGCAGCTGGCTCAGTGTAATTATGTCATGGTACGTAATTAGGTACAACTGGGTTCATGTAATTGAGTTTCAACTTCCCCAGAAGTTTCCATCCGGGTGTAGCAGGTAGTGTTGGCCTCAGCCCAGACACCTCACTCGGCTGAAAGATAGTCAAGGGTCATCCTCTTACCAAGAACAACTTGGGCCAGAGAACCTAAGACTTTTTCTTGGGTAGCTATCGCTTTAGCAGCAAATTCTGCAATAATTTCAAGAGTTAAGAAGACGTTCCTGATTATAGCATCATTTACATTTATTCCTAACCGGGGAAGTAAGGCTCTGCATGGAGGCATGAATGACTCATAAAGGCCTTCTGGGAATTTCCTGCTGGATTCTGGACCAGAAAGGTGACATCCACGAGGCCTGGAAATATTTAAAGGGCTGTAGGCCACACAGGGAATTTTATTCTGGTTGCCTTTGCCTTGTGTCCCTTTCTTTGCATAACAGCCTCAACACGCAGTCACCCAACTTTGGCACTGTTAGCCAGCAACAGCGAAATGGACCAGGAGGCCTCTGGCATCGTAGATAGGTCAGAGTTTTTTGTTTTTGTTTTTGTTTTTAAGACTTTATTTATTTATTTGACAGACAGAGATCACAAGTAGGCAGAGAGGCAGGCAGAGAGAGAGGAAGGGAAGCAGGCTCCCTGCTTCGTAGAGAGCCCCATGCGGTGCTCTATCCCAGGACCCTGGGATCGTGACCTGAGCCGAAGGCAGAGGCTTTAACCCACTGAGCCACCCAGGCGCCTCAAGGTCAGAATTTTTGATGACCAATCCAGCAGTCTGAAAGATTAGCAACCCTCCCGCCCGTGGCCTGGGAGATCCCGATGATGGTGTTGTTTCTTCAGGCCAAGCCCAGAGTAAACGAAAGAAAAGAAGGAAGGATATCATGTGTAGCTGAACTTCGAAGTTTTGACTCAGCATCTTGGGTAGACGCACTCAACTTCAAGGTCAGCTGCTTCTCCTCCTGGTCAGTTCACTTTGGAGGTCTTCCGGGTCTGCGCAGGACCACACGGACCTGGGATAGTCCCTTTGAAAGAGATTCAAGGGCAATTCCAGATCGGAAGGGTGGGAGAAAATTAGAAACAGTTGGGGAGTCACAGCCAGATGTTTGAGGAAACTAGAAGAATTCAGGATTGTGTCCATTTTACAGGTGTGTCCCAAAACCTCAAAGGCAATGAGCAGGATGAGAATCTAATATCTAGGCAAAGGTGCAAACGTAATTTTTCTCTTGGCGATCATTCCCACCCATCTGCTTTCTTTTAGCCAAAGATAATCACAGTAAAACTAATTTATTTGTATTAAACTTCCTGATTATCTACATAAGCGCAGCAAGAATAGTGATTGACCATAAAAGCTCTTTTTCAGACAGCTTTGCTGAAAGCTTTTTTTTTTTTTTTTTAGATTTTATTTATTTATTTGACGAAGAAAGAGCGAGCAAGCACAAGCTAGGGGAGCAGCAGGCAGAGGGAGGCGGAGGCTCCTTGCTGAGCAGGGAGCCTCATAAGGGACTCGATCCCATGACCCTGGGATGATGACCTGAGCCGAAGACAGCTGCTTAGCCAGCTGGGCCACCCAGGCGCCCCTTTGCTGGAACTTTCTATAATGAAACTCAGATTGCATTCTTAAAAGCCGGAGGCCAGGAAACCAAGCCAAGGTTAAAACAGCTCCTTAAAGCTATCTGATCATATCTGAGGCTTGCATATCTCTCTCAAATATGACGTTCCAATCAAAGGTTTGGTAATACACCCAGTGTCTCCGGTTGTGTCCTGTTACGAGGAGAATAGATTCTTATTGAACTTACGCACACAACTAAATATATTACCATGAAAAGAACACTCAAGAGTTTCTGGCAGGATCAG